GCATCAGTACAAATACGTGCACGCGTTGCGCGTTTTGCTTGCTTGAGTGTTTGTGCATTATATGAGTTCTTGTCATATTTTATTACCATTTTCTAAACTATAGCGAATAAACTGTGATAATGTGAGAAAAGATGAAGGTGTCTAAATAGATTTTGGTTTGACTGTATCTATTTGATAAATGAAGTTAACCAAATAACATTATACATACTCTTTTGGTTTCTGTACCCAATATTTAAAAAATGTACAAATGCAATAAAAATATTGGTATCGGTACTCTGTATCGGCAAGTACCAAAAATAAAAGTATCGGTATCGGGCGAGTACTGGAAAAAGTGGTACCGGTGCATCCCTAATAAATATTACATGAAAAACTAGAAATGTTGCCTTGGCAAATAACTGAAACAAGTTTAAGATGAAGCATTTAAAAATTGCTAACTGGAAATAAATACAAACTAAAACTAAACTGAACTAAACCTAAAGCTGACAAATGAAACCTAAATAGTAATATTAAAACATAAATAAATACAACTAATAAAAATGACAAAAGTACATAACACTATTACTAAAAATTTTAAATGAAAACTGAAAATGTGAAATATTGATATAAATTAGTATAATAGCATATAAATAATTTAAAAAAATACTGGCCTTGAAAAGTAAATTGTAAGAAAAAGGTGAAATTATTATTAAAGCAATTATGATTTAAATCACTATTATGAACAATTGTCTGACACTCTATTTACTTTTTAATGATGGATAAAAACTCATTGAAATGAGCTGTTTGTGCATGATGAAAAATATATTCGGAAGAATTTCATGAGAACATGTCCAGGTCATATTGCAACGTAAAATCAACAGAAAAAGAAAGTAAAATATACTGCATAAAGCTATTTATAGGACCACATTTTTATCTTTTTTTTTTGCACATTACATGAGAATTGGGGGGATTTTCGGGGACTATGTGTGATTCAGCCATGTTAAGAAAATAATGCAAAATATAGTTTCATGGCCAGTGCAAAATATTTATGGCAGGTAAATTTTCTCAATTCACTAGCCATTGCTAAATAGGTAAAACATTAAATCTGGACCCTTCCTGATGTTTTGTACATGTTTAACCTCATCAGGTTTTGTATCATTTCATACAACTCTCTCACTTCATTGCAGTTGCAAATGCTGACCTCTGTGAGTCGGGCTGTGAGATGGTGTTGACGATGGCCTCCACAGCCGTATCGAACAGCTCCGGATCCGCCAGCGCCGTGAAACTGGCCTCGACCAATCCCTCGCTCTCGTTCAGAGGAACGTCCAGCAGAACCCAGCTCGACAGACACTTGAGCACACGGGCCTTCACCAGTGGCGGAGAGTCCGGCTGCCGTAACAGCTGCTGCAGGAGCGGGTAAACGGCTGTCCACTCGCGGCCCAGAGCGCCCCTCACCTGTCCCTTGCGGTACTGCGGCAGTCGGCTGGTCTGGAACTCCTCTGGGAGAACCGTGAGGAGCTCCAACAGAGCCAAACAGCGAGCGCGCCCGTCCACCTCGCCTCCTTCCTCCTGAAACATGCGCACCATCTCTGACACGGCCCCCGGCCACGCCTCGGGCATCATGTTGAGGGCGAGGGACGCCAGCGCCACGCACAGGCGGGTCAGGACGATCTTAGAGCCGGAGGCAAAGTGAGCGATCTGAGAAAACAGCTGCGTTTTGAGTGTGTCGTACTGCTCGGCGGGGATGTCGCCCCAGTAGCGGGAGATCTTGGTGTGAAGGGCGCTGGCGCCGAAGTATTGGATCTCTGGAACCTGCGGAGATGAAGGAAGATATGCAGTCTTTGATTGTCTTTCTCTTTAATAGATTCCTTGGAGAAGAAATCAGATGAGACGTACACAGCATATAAAGCCTTCTTGCATCATTAGTCAGCACAGAGTTTGTGATCAGTGCTTCTCAACTGCTGCATCGCAACTAGGGCTTGGGTGATATGGCCAAAAATAATATCACAATATTTTTTTCCCATTTCACACAATATCAATATTTAGCACAATGTAAACACATTTGTTTGTCCACAATTAAATTACTTTTTAATTTATGGCACTATAAAATCTTGTTTTATTTTGCCCTAAATTCTATGTTTTCCAGTTAAAGGCACAATGTGTATGTTTTCGCCACTAGAGGGCGCGTATTCAAAACAAACAAAGAAACAAAGGCGTAGTTTGATGACGCAGTGACTGAGTGTGGAATCATGGGAGTTGTTGTCTTCATCCCCACAGCCGATGCAATCCCACAGGACTCAGCCAGAAATCATGTTCATGGATGAGCTAATGTATTAAAGATTTATTAACGTCATAGTATGAAGCAGGGTGAGGCTGAAAGCTGTCAAAGCGAAACGAAGATGCTGAAGCAATTGATAATGAGTGACGAGCGCGACACACAGCTCGAAAGCAGCGGAGCTTTTATTATGCCACAGTCGACTGCTTCCGCTCCTTCCGGTCGTGTGTATGTGGGGTATAGCAGCGCTGTTTTAACATACTAGATACATTTGAAAGTTATGTTATAATGCTACTCTGTGCGGTCGTCACCTGTATAATAAAACGCATAACATATTAAAGCGTCTTTGGTGTTTCCATGTTTTCTACAAAACAAAACCGGAAATCGAGTGTGCATGACGTCATTGGCGGGCGACGCAATGACCAGGGACAAGCCACTATTTAAAATTGCTATTTCTCTGGATTTAAACATTCTTCGAAACATTTGGGATAATGTAAGTACACAAGTCAGCAAAATATATAACACTGTTCTAGTGGTTTTTGGATATTTTAATAAAAAAATCTTACATATTGTGCCTTTAATTATTTCCGGATTCTATGTTTTATGATTCAATACAACTTTAGCATAAAAAATGTTAATTAAATAAATTAATAAAACTTCAACAATTTAATTTACAACAAAACATTGCATTTTTATTTTTTGTCAAATAAGATGCTGCACAACAGAATAGTATAACCAAATGAAAAATATCTTGGTTGTATGACATTTTAGTATAAAGGGTAATATTTCTGTCAAAATTTCTTCAAGTTAAACCGACATATATTTTGACGGGTTGACGTCTACTTTCCGTTTCAGTGTTTTAGTACTTGAGAGTAGTTTTTCTCAAACGAAACTGTAAAGCTGGTGAAGTGACTCTCAGAGCAGCTCTGGAGATAAAGTTCACATGCTCATATATTAAGACGGCAGATGCTGAAAACACTGTGAGCATCATATGGGTTTGCGTAGGAGACCAAACCGCGTCATTCATTCACACAGAAACACTCATGCAGACTTATTAGTGGCATGCACTTTGGCTGTTGTCACGTTTATTTCTGCTGCTGTGTGATCAGCTGTTAGATTAATCCATATTGAGTAAAAACGTCAAACACATTTCTGGCATTTCCATTCTCATTACAGTGATGTAAAAAATCATTTTAATGATCAGTTTTCATTATAAAAACATTACTGATGTTTAAATTGCAACACATTTAAGAATCATGGAGGAGACCTGTCACAATGTAAAAAACATTGCTTGTATCAAATATAAATTAAATTTTTTGTGTGTTTTAGGAGAAAATGACTCAGATGACATCTTTTTGTGAAATTCACTCCTTTTGTAGCCATCGAAAACAGCTACACAGAACAAAACCAAATAAATCCTGTAGGTGTAGCTTAGTTAATGCAACGATCATGGCAGCAATGCAACTGCTAACGACATCTGATATGTGTACACAGACCGAAAGTCATTGTGAATAGGCATTCTCAACCCATTTAACTTAGGTAAAAAGGGCAAGCCAAGCACTGGTGGAAAAGGAGGGGATGAGAACAGGATGTTCTTACCTTCTCTGGTCTCAGTAAAACCCAACAGAACTGCCAGGCCTGAGGAGACACTTGAGCCTGCATCAGCCATTTCTGAGCCAGGTTCTTATTCTCAATGTTGGGATCATAATAGAGCTGATGCAGAGCCTGAAAGAGACACAGAGAGCGAGAAAGACAGTTTTAGACAGTGATACATTGCACTCTGGACATTATGGAGCACATGGATACAAACTAATAATGCTTTATTAACCCCGGGGTTCCTGCGGGGCAGTTTAGCAGACAAGTATATGAAAGCATGTGCAGTTAAAGTGATGTTCTAGGTCTAAAAACTGCTGATGCATGAAACTCATGACATCATTTATGCAGGTGAAGCATTTAATATGGTGGAAGGGCAATAACACAGCTAATAATGACATATTCATTCAGCAATAACAAGAAAGAAATCTATCTATCTATCTATCTTATTAAAATGTATTTGATCAAAAATACAGTAAAAACTGTAATATTGTGATTTCTATTTTAATATATTTTAAATAGGGCTGTCAAAAGTAACGCGTTAACGCAAATTAATTTTAACGGCACTAATTTTATTAATGCAGCGTGAATTTTCTGTTTGACCCATGGCCTAACCTGTAGTTGGAGAAATGGAGATGCACAGTGTTGCCAACTTAGCGACTTTATCACTAGATTTAGTGACTTTTCAAACCCCTTTAGCGACTTTTTTTTTTTTTTCAAAATGCGCCTAGCAACAAACCTTTAGGGTTTGCCCAAACCTTATTTAGTTTCTGAGACTCGCCGGTACTGCCGCACGAGCGCGAGGTCTCTCTTTCCCAGCGCACACACCTATTATGTTGCTTCTCTAATTTTACATGCAAGTATAGCCGAAATCACAGCAC